AAATATCATGTGATTGATAAGTGATCTGCAGAACAAAATTTCGGACTGTTCGGTCTTTAGGTGTCCCACACCATACTCAGTTATATCACCTTTAGCGTTCAATCGTAGGTGTAAACAAATAAAGAACGCAAAACTCCATACTCAGTTATATCCCACTTCAGATATATCCCAAAAAGTCTCCGTCCCAAAGTGGGGATATAAACGAGGGATGACTGTATGTTGGTTTTGACACGTGATATGTGCCATAAAAGAAATTATGATAATCAATTTTTTTCACTAAAATGTCAGAGTTCAACAAGTTCAACGCGCAAGAGATCTCCATTCCATCCAACCTTTATTATGAAGGTGAACAGTCTCTCTCATATCGATTGTAGCATACACGACGTTTTAGAATGTTTATATCCGTTTTGTTTGTAGACTACTGGTTAAATACCAACTTCCGGAAATGGTCTATCGAGTCGTTTGATATATTTTGGATACAGGAAAACCCAGCTCAACATAAAAAGCAAGATCAAGCTCATTCTTCGTTAGCTAAAGAGTTGAATATTCTTTCTGAAGCATCTGATCAAAGGGTGGTAGAGAAAGTGTCATTGTTAAAGAAACAACTAAAGGTCAGTTTACGTTAAAGATGTATCAGAATACATTTCACTACGCCCCTCGGCGCTTTCGAGGAATGGTTGGGCGATTTCTAACCTGATGGGGAGGAGAAGCGCGATGGTGATTCTGTCGCGTGTGAAATGTATTAACTAGGTGTACTACGCCCCTCGGCGCTTTCGAGGAATGGTTGGGCGATTTCTAACCTGATGGGGAGGAGAAGCGCGATGGCTTCACTATGTGATTCTTTCGCGTGTACACCACTATCAATAATGTTAAAGATTCCGAGTTTTAATTTTTTTATCTTTACCAACTGTGTAAGAAACGACCGTCAGAAATCTGTGATATTGTATGGAGCAAGAGTAAAGAAATTGCAGAGTCTCAAGTTCGTTTATCACTCAGCGAACTAATAACTAAGGTGATTCAAAGTTGTGCAATATTATTGCAAATGTTACAATTATTTGCTCACTATTTTGATTTTTCAGACAAATGTCAAGACAGCTATTGTTGATGGAATCGGAGGTTCAGGAAGCCAAAGGTATTTTTTTTTAAAGACCACGCAGTTCTTTTCTGATGGTCACATATAACTTTTATTCTGTCTACATAAAATTCTTCCGCTGTAAAATTATTTATACCAACAAGGAAAACTTGAAAGCTCAGGTATGTCTTTCAAGTTTCTTTCTCTTATGAATATAGACTCTTTATGCTTACACAACTAAATCTAGAAACAAACCAAATGAAGAAAGTCAAGAGTATAGAGACCAATCTTATGATAATAATAAACAAGAAGAGGATGCTATATCTAGTGGTATGTTGCAAATGGATGGTTTATGTTACAGATTTGCTATATAACTGAAATATATTGCTTGTACCAATTCAGATTCAGATGATAATTCTCAAAACGTAACAGAATCAATGGTCAGAAAGGTCGAAAGAACACCCCTGGTTATAGACAATGTCAATTTGGAGAATATTTTCGAAAATTATCATAATGAGTGTGAAAACGACTTTGAGTAAGTAGAATCCATTCCCGTTATTGACATGAAAAATAAAGTAGTCTTATTCTGTATTATTACCTTTTATTAGCTTATGTCATATGTCATAGCGATATTATGGACCTTAGACCAGCCTCAAAATTCGCAGGAAAAAATCTCTGATGAAATATGGATGAAATTTGTTTCAAATTCATTTCCTAAATGCACGTTACCTAAAGACTGGGAGGAACTGATAAATGATACCTTCAAGGTATATTGTAAAGTTTGGAAAAAGATGAATTGCTTCCAGTTTGACTAATTTTTGTTATTCATTGGTGGCCAAATAGCTGAAAAATTCCCTAGTGGAATGGATAAATGCCTTTCATGAACTTCATATGATTACTTTTGAAAAAAAAATCAATGGAAACCTTATAAGAGATGTGATATACAATATTCTATGCCCATAGTATGTTTAAACCTTTATTATCTCTCTGTACTTTCAGATTTATTTGTAATAATATTTTTTTGAATTTTATTTTTTTTTAGTATCAAAGCTTTCGAAGCACCATTCAATATATTAAAATCAGGCAACCTTGAAGAAAATCAGTATAATGCACAGTTTATAAATCCAATATTACACAACACACTTGATGCTACCTGTAGTGTCGATTGGCGAATGTAAGTGAATTTGTTTAATTAACCATTCTGAGAAAGTATTTATTTTGCAGATAATTAACTAACTTTATGATTATTTTGTTATTATTATAGACTTGAAGTCCCAATTCAGTCACTGAACATTTCACAAAATTTTTGATTGACTTGCAATTTCATATAAGGTTGCACAAAATAATTATTTGT